AGGGCGCTACCTTGTCACGTGGAAGGGGGTTGATTAAAATATCACATGTTCTTTCGGTCTGTTTTGCAAATCCACGAGGCTACTTAAAAGAAGAAGGGGGCCTTTCCTAGAGTGAAACCACAGTGAAATTTTTCGCAAGCACCTTCAAAATCCAAGAGTGGTGGTACAGAGTGGAATTCTGCCGGGGTTGAAGCCTTGATCCCGGTGGTCTAGGGTCTGTGACCCAGTGACTGCCAACAGCGCCTCCTGTGTGTACGTTCTCCGAACACCGCCAGGCTAGACTGGATTGAACTAGAGAAGGCGTCAGGCAGCCAGGAGTTTTGATTCTGAGTCGACTGTCTGAAGCCACGTAGAAGGAAAAGCAGTAGTTGGATTACTTCTAATAGGCCGGTTTCCCTCAGGTTTAAAAGTGAAACAGTAGGGTTACTTCTTTACAAGTCTTACACACACACACACACACACACACACACACACACACACACACACACATGCACTCACGGTGGAGGGGGGAGGAGGGACCTGGCTGTTGTCTTCTCTTAGGTTGCTGGCGAGTTGGCAACCAGATAAGGACTCCCAGGCCCCTTAACCTTGTTCATTTCTAACATCTTTCCACAAATAAGCCTTTATGCCTTATCAAAACCCGGCAAGTAAACCTGCCTTCAGCTCCAGGGAACTGAGAGAACTCACAAGAAGTGAGCCACAGGGACTCCTCTGCCATGCCCCAGGCTGGAACTTGCCAGGGTGAGGACTGTAGGCCACAGCGTAGGACGCCCCGGTACCCTAAAGCGGTAAAGCCAGAGCGGCCAGGATGGTGGGCTATACGTTGTTACTTGAATCTGTTTGTAAAGAGGAAGCGGCTCTGTCATTCCCGGAAGCTGATCCTACTAAGCTCTTGGGGCCAGCTCAGTGCCAGGTCGACTGCACAAGGTCCCCTGACCAAGTTGTCTGCTTTAGCCCACCCTTCCCAGATTGACCTGGCAGCTATTCACGGCACAGAAGGACGCAGAGGATATGGGATGAAAGGAGGAAAAAAGGGCACAGGACCCTGTCTTGGGACCAGCTGGTGCCTTTGATGCTCCTGACCTTTGCTGTGTGGCTGAACTGAGTGGTGGGCGGACTTTGAGCCGGAACCTCGTCTGTGGTGCTCCCGCTGGAGTCTCTTGAGGGCTCTCCCTCTGGATCTCCCTAGTCTAGCCCCCATTCCCTGCTGACCCTACCTACCTCCCATCTCAGGACTGTCGCCAGGTCAAGGCCGCGCGGTGGCCCCAGCCACGCTCTGTGCCGGGTGGTCCGAGTTCCTCCGCAGGCCCCACTCCCCCACCAGATAAGAAGCTTAAGTCCTCCTCCTGCCGAGGGGGAATTAGACGCGAAGCAACTAAGACCTGTGGTCTTTAACTGGGTTCAAAGCCGACTCCGACTGGGACCAGCTTAGGGCTGCACCCAGCAGGGCTGCGCTAGAAGCATCCCCCCCTTGTACTTGCTTGTGCGTTGCCCTGAGGATTCGAGGTACGCAAGGCTGGGGAGGTCGCCCGGGTGCCTTCAGCAGCTAGCCCTAGTCACTCGTGGCCCGGCGACCCCGGCCGGGGGGAGGGGAGGGTCACTACTACCCAAACCAGCCTGACGCTCAGGGCAAGCGTTCGGGGTCCTGTTCTATCCTGCTTCTCTTTTCCCTTTCTTTCGGCCCTCACATGTTCCTTTTACTCTTTCTTCCGCCATTAAATCCTCATTAAGGAATCAGTTGCAAGCATGACCTCCAATCTCCAGTAGGTGGGAGTCCTGGGGCCACCTGACAGGCCTTGTCTGGCCCGTTCTACACCAGATCCCCTACTGCTCCCGACTGCACACCTGTCCAGGTGTGCCTTTGCGCTACACGTATGCGTATTCAGGGCTTTCGCTTATTTTGCTAAAAACAAAACCAGGCATTGAGTTTGTCCGTTGTCTTGCTCCTTGAGTTGCCGCCAGGTTTCAGAAAGTCCCGGGAGTCCGTGATCCAGGCTCGTCCGCAGCCGGATGTCTGAGCCGGAGCTGCTCCCCACCTGGCCTCGCCCGCGGGCGACAAAACCGTCCGTCTGGCCGTGAGAGAGCTTCACCTTGCCAAGATCAACTAACATTTTCATGTATTCAAATGAGAAGTGTTGGGAAGGAACACTTGCCTCTCTGGACAATCCACAGCCTTGGAAGGAAAAGTTAAGTGTCCCCACCGTCCCTGGAGAAAAATGTCACCTCCATCCCTCCAGGAGCATCCACTGTTCCTCTCCTGTACCTCCCCCGCTCCAACCCCCACCCCACCCCCGCTGCACCTCGATCTCCACGGTCCTGTTGCAATACTTGCCCTG